GCTGAATTCTAATTCAGTGCTGCTTCCCCGACAATCAAGATTATCGTTTTCTTAGCATTCTGGAGTAGTTCTTCCCTTATGCAAGTGTGTGCTTACCATAATTGCTGGGCATCATGTGTGGAATCCAGGAGAATGGGTGAGATTTGGCATTGAATATGCCTCCCTCGCCTGTGGCCTCACTTACAGCATACACTTGGCTTCCTAAGAAGCAGAACATCTTATCATGTAAGCTTACATGAGAAGACTTAGCACTCGAACAAGTGTCAGCTTGTCCTGCTACACCAAGTGGCTTTGAACATCTTAAAGACCCCTCCAAGCCTTTGAGTACCTCATCTGTGAGATGGAACTGATCTTTAAAATTCCTTTCCTTCTATGTATTTATTTCCTTATTCGAACCCATGATTCCCAACCTAGGTGGCTCTAAGTTCGTAGAAGTCCTGTGATAGGCAAAGGTTATTCATAAGAAGTATACAGAGTATTTTCTACTCCAAAGTTAGACTTTTAATTTAATTACTGGTCTCCCTATTATATTGGGTTTTTTAATTTAATTGTTTTTTAAGGTCTTCTCTATTTTAAGACAGTGTCTGGTTCTTACTGAAGCTAAGCTTTATTCCTCTAAAAATCCCCAGAGAACATTGACTGCTACTGAGGTTAATATAATGCCTTATGGCTTGGGGTTAGCTCTATTACAAAGGCATTTATTGGAAACATCAGCAGATTGGAAGATTTTTTTATACATTCTTTCCCTTGGGCCTCCTTTAACATGCAATTCTCCATGAATGCAAATTTTAGTAAAGTTCAAGTCCCAATGACAGTTTTTGAAAATCTGTGTTTTATTTAAACTTCATAGATCTTATCAAACTAGGACAGAATTTTCAAAAGAAAAAGGAAGTTCTCAAAAAAGGGAAGATTTGGCTGATTCTGGGGCAATGTACTCTCCCTGTTGGACCCTAGACTGGCCTAGTTTAAGGAACAAATTAGAGAACAAGGGTTTTCAATCTGAGGGAACATTGCTTTACACAGGACAATTTTAGATAGAACTTCATTGCTGCAGACGCTAACTATTTTGAAAATTCACCATGTCCTGGATGTGATGTTAAGGGCTTTTTCTACCTACTATCTTAGCCATTACAATAGTACTTCCAAAAAATGAGGCTCCACAAATTTAAGTAACTCAACCGTGTTCCTGCAGCTGGCATGAGGCAGAGCTAGAATTCAAATTGTCATCCACCAAAATAAATTCTCTCCACAGGACTACACCTAATCATTTTCCCCGCTCCCGACTGGTTGGTTTCTCTTGATGATTTTTCATATGGAAGATGCTTCAGCAATATAAGTTTGCCATGTTATTATCCAATTTGTTCTTTAATAGCTTTAATTTATTTCAGATATTCTCTCCCAGTTGGTGGCTTATCTTTTCATGATCTTAACTGCATCTTATCAAGAGAAGTTCATAATTTTCATGTAGTCTAATTGGCGGATACATTGTGCATTCTGATATTGTGTCTAAGAAATCTTTGTCTAACTTGAGGTTATGAATACTTTCTCCTAGAAATTTTATAATTTTAGGATCAACATTTTAGATATATTACCCACTTTGAGTTTCTTTTAAGGTTCTTTTTTGCTTACAAATGTCAAAATATCTCCACACCATTTGTTGAAAATGAGACCATCTCCACTGAATGTCTTTTTTCCATATCTATGTGAGTATGTTAGAGAGCACACTATTTTGCTACAATGATCTTTTCATTTTATCTCTGCTCCAGTGCTGTCATGATTACTATAGCTTTACAATTAATTTTGAACTCATGTAATATATATCTTTCACTTTTATTCTCTTTTTTTTCCATGCTCTTCTAGGTTTTTTATATAATCATTGCTTGCGTTTTTATTTACTCAAAGATATAGTTAGAAAATATCATCTAGAAATTTAAAGATGCTTTAAAATTAAAAGTGATGAGTAGTGTGGAAGCCTTATTTTTAATTTTCATCTTTTTTCAGCACATAATTATATGCATTCTTAGTGGGGAGTTGGTATATATACACAATACATTTTATTTTTTCATCCCTCTCTCTTCTCTCCTCTCCTCTATTCTCTCCATTCTTTAGTTTCCTTCCCTTTTGCAAAAATCCTTCTTACTATTTCTTTTCTTTCTTTTGCCCTTTGTTTATATTTTATATTTTAAGTTTTTCATACAAGAGAAACCATGCAGCATTTAAACTTGTGGTTCAGATTTATTTCATTTAACATTGTGAACTCCAGATGCATCCATTTTCCTACAGGTGACTCAAGTTTATCTTTCTTTCTGGCAGAACAGTGCAGCATCATATATAAATACCACAATTTCTTTATTCATTCACCTATGTATGGACATATAGGCCACTTCAGATTTAGCTATTAGGAATTGTACTACTATAAACAGAGGCATACATGTATTACTGTAATGTGATGTTTTTAATTTTATGGGGAAGATACCTAGATAAGGGAATAACAGGGTCAAATGGAATTTCTGGCTTTGATTTTTTGAGGCATCTCCTTGCTGATTTCCATGGTGACTGAATATGTTTACATTCCTACCGTAAGGTAGAAGGGTTCGTTTTCCCTAGAAGCCTCACCAGCATTTGTTATTATTTGATTTCTTGTTTTAGTTTTTGAAAAACCATGTTTTTGGTGTGAATCCTCATTAGAAAGTGAGGTATGCTGAGCATAGGATTCCATTTAGTTAATCAAAAGTTTTATGTGGATTTGCATGAATCACCAATTTTCAAAATAAGTTATAGTGCAGTAATTTGTACCAGAACAATATTGGACATGATTACAACTTTTACTGATGTTTCAGAAAACACTTTGAGCCCTAAGTATCATAGACATTATGAGCATCAGTGGTCACTGCCCTAACAAAGTGGAGATTTATTTATTGATTAAATGGAGTTTGTTTGGTTACATTGCTACCCACCATCTTATCTACTCTGTTTCTGATTTGAATAATACCTTGATTCAAATATCCAGAGTGTTATATTAGGAAGTTATGTGGAACACTTTCTGATATCTGTCTCTCCAATACAACAAATCCCTATTGACTTTCAACTTACTTTCTGCGGGTGACAGTTAGGTAACTATTAATCAGGCGAGCTGAGTGCTGATAATGTTAGCCATCACTGCTACCATGTAAAGTGGAGCCATTCATTTGCCCTGTCTGAGCCTTGGTTTCATCATTTGTCAAATGCAAAGTTTAGTTTAGTTAATCTTCAGTTATCTACTCAGCCCTAAAACCCTCTGACTGTCCTGCATTTACTTTTATTCATTTAACAATTACAAATCCTTTAAAAAATAAACTAAAATTTTTAATATTAGAAGCACTGTGATGAGTCAAAGGGAAAGCTTTTTCAATCAGAAAGTAGTGGTCTTTTGATGCATCCCATACTGTCTAACACCACGGCATGAATCTACTTTGATTATGGTCAGTGCTGAGCACTGACAAGGACACTTATGCCTTCTGCTGCTGCAACATTTGTGCCCCATGAAATCCTCAAATTGCGAAAGAAAAGAATGATTCTAAACCAAGCAATTCTGAGGTTTCAGTTTTTCTGAGTTAACAGGTTAGATCTTTTTTAAAAGTTAGAGTTTAGGTTTTCAACTGTATCTCCAAAGTAGCTGATAGATACAGTTGTGAAACCATGAAGACTTTAAATATCTTCATTTTCTTTCCTATCCAAAAGCACAGCAGGAGACGCTAGTCATATCCTATAAAAGGAGAAGCTTGGTAGACCTAAAATTTACTAGAAAATACAAAATAGAGACATGAGTTCCAAATAATACGAGAACTTTCATTGAGCACTTCCTGAATGCTGGGCACTTCATGTGTGTTATGTAGTTTAATTCTCACAGTCTTGAAAACTAAGCATTATCAGCTCTTTCTTACAAATGAGCCAATGGTAAACAAAGAGTTTGTGTGGTTTGCCCCAAGGTTGCACAGTGCCCAAGTGGCAGAGTTGGTCTTCAGTTTATATCTGTTTCAGTCTCTAACCTAAGCTCTTAATGACTGCATTAGATACTGGCTTTCATTGCTTAGCTGGTCCATTTAGGAGTAATTAAATTTTTAGTATGAATTACAGTGATCTAAACCAGGATAACATCTACTAATTGATCACTTTGGGTAAACTTGCTAAAAGAAATAATTCACAGAAGGTTTTCTAGAGAAATTGCTTTGAATTATCTTTTGAAATGAAGGACATGCATTGGCCTAGAGAATATGATGAGTTTCTATTAGAGTGCTGCACTTTACCAGGCCTACAAGTGAGTAAAATATGCATTCAGAAAGCAAAATTAAGACTTACCCATTGCAGGATATAGCCAGAAATAAGGCCAGTGCCACAGAGGTGAAAACTCAAGAAGTTTCACTTTAATATGATGGATACTACAGATCCACTCTCAGTATTTAACCAAGGTGAAGACATAATGAATATAATGTTTGAGCATACAATTTACCCAACACTTCGTATAGGATAAATATGAACAATTTGAGTCAAGAGAAAATTTCTCAGCAAAATGTATTTGACACTCAACACATTATCTTCAGCGATACAATGTAGCTCACCTTACTGAGACCCTGTCCCTTGAATAGTGCAATGACAATGTATTTCGGCTCCTAAATTAAGAGAACCATATACATATTTTATACAATTTTTAAAAGTAAAGGTAAACATCCACCACAGTTTAACATGTCTCTTTCTAGGCCATACTGCTGGTATTGTGCAATGTGTATAAATAGATCACACAAGTTTATGAATTAAAGTTAGGATTGGGCAAATAGAAATCTCTCAACAATATTATTGAATGATTTGAAGTCTGCTTCCAGGTAGCAATTGCCACTTCTGAGTGAGGGCAAATGTGTTGTAGTAGGGTCCCATCCATTAAAAACCTGCTAATGCTAACTTATTTTCTCTTCATATTTTCTAAAATATTTTATTCACTCCCCTCCTTCTCTTTCTCTCTCCAGTTCCAGAGACCTAATGACTTCTCCCCACCTTTTCGCTTTGGGACTGTGCCCAATGGTAGCACAGAGAGGAATATTCGCAATAACTACGCAGAAATGCATGCCTACATGGGAAAGTTCAACCAGAGGGGTGTAGATGATGCATTGCTTTCCCTGAAAACAGGGTAAGAACTATCCCCCCACACAGAGTGATGTGTTTCTTACATTTATTAAACCAAATCGAATCAGATGTACTAGTGTATCATGCTTTGTGCCATAAAACATTAAATCAAAGACCATTTGCTGTCAACAGATTTCCCGGTTATGTTTGACATTACAATTCAAGCCAGTGTGCAAAGATGCTTTTTTTATTATTTCTGTGTATTTTTCACAAATTATCTTCTACTGATCGCGTTAATGTAATCATGAAGCAGAAATTAAACAGATGTAGATGGGAGGAGTCACAGATAGGTCTCATATGTTATGCATGAAAAAAGTCTCTAAGAGATGAAAATGATAGTTCTTGTGTATTATAGGCGATGGAGAAATAAAAGAGGAAAGTGTAAAAACTTTAGATAATAAAAAGAATTTTAGAATATGCCATCTGTTCTCCAGTCCAGCTTTTGTTGGCTTTTTTTGTGAGCTGTCTTCGGAATCACAGAGTGTACATTCAGTAGAAAGTTCCTGAAGCAACAATGTGCTGGGATGCCTTACAACAGCCATACTTGGCCCTTTTTCTGTTTTGTTTCCAGAGCCCAGATCTGTGAGGAGTGATAACCATTGGAGCAGAAGTTGGGATTTGGGGGCCAAGGGACCTCATCACTATTTTCCTGTTACATAACTAACAGCATAGGGATCTCCTCTCAGTATCCCTGGAGCTCCGGGTCAGGAAGAGCCACCTAGACACATAGTTGCATAAAATACTACAGGATGCTTATTAAACATAAATAAAATCACAGTATATTTGAGAGGATGGTGTAGGATGGCTTTGGATAGTCTAAACCCTGGTATATCCAGAGTTCTCAGACGTATTAGAGCTTTGTTTTTCTGTTATGCTACTTTTCTGAAGGGCAGCTTTTATAAAATTTCCTGTTGTATCATGTCAGAAACAGCTTGGTTTTTTCTAAGGGAGGGAGAATGCTACTTACACTATATAAGTGCAGGGCTGAGGCATGGTATTTTTTCAGACCTACTACCTGTATGATTTTATATGAATTTCACCATCTACATTTGCTGTGTATAAAATGCTGGTTTTAAACATTGATTCACACCTTCCTGTCCTTACTCCTAGTCTTATCAAACACAGTAAATAACATGAAGTTTATATATGTTTAGGAATTTGAGCAATCTCAGCTCTTCTGCATGTTGCCTGCTTTTTCAGTGTCTCACATTTACTCCTACACAGCCTCTGCTGCCACCATTCCACTACTCACCTCTGCTGCACAGCAAAATATTGGGACCTTTCGGCCACCAAAATAGCATTGCCCATCTATTTAAACACATATACCTACGCTTCTCTCCACTCTGGACTGTAATGAACTGAGAAATGAAAAATGTTATATAAATCTTACCCATGCTATTTGTTATCATTGTGGTGCTTACTTTTCATTATTTCTGTTATTATTTTTATTGATTCCTTTTTACTCCTTCTCCTTTTCAGACACAGCTTATGAGTTGGCTTCAGGCCCAACTTACATTCTTATTATTCCCAGTGGGAGGCAAAGAACTCCTCCTTTCCACCTGAAATCACATAAAGAACTGCCTGGGATTCAGGCGTTAGATTCTGGCCAAGGACCAGCTTCGGCCTTACTTTGAACCAGTTCTCTCTGTGGCTTTCTGGAGCCCTGCTGCTTCATATTAATGTCTCCCTAGGTAGTTTTGTTCTAAAATTCCTCCTCTGGATTTTGTTCATTTGCTTCTTTCTCATGCAGGAAACTGGATGCCTTCATCTACGATGCAGCAGTACTGAACTATATGGCAGGCAGAGATGAAGGCTGCAAGTTGGTGACCATTGGTAGCGGCAAGGTCTTTGCTTCCACTGGTTATGGCATTGCCATCCAAAAAGACTCTGGGTGGAAGCGCCAGGTGGACCTTGCTATCCTGCAGCTGTTTGGAGATGGTGAGTTGAAGGAAAGTTCTTACCAAATGGAGGAGTTCTTACCAAGAGGAGCCTTTCCTGCTCCTCTATTTTTCTAACCTGTACAGTTCCAAAAAAGTATTTCACAATTTATAATGAGATTTAGGGTGTATATAGGAATCCTGGGGCTGACATAACAAGGTGCCACAAACAGTGATTTAAACAACAGAAATGTCTTGTCTGAAAGATCTGGAGGTTAGAAATTTGAAATCAAGATGTCCTGGGAGCTACAAGAGGGAATCTGGTTTATTCTTCTTCCCTAATATCTGACAATATTTGGTGTTCCTTGGTTTGTAGATGCAACATCTGACTTTTGCCTTCCTGTGATTCACATGACCTTCTATGCATGTTTTCTCTCTGTACATCTATGTGTCTGAATTTACCTTTTCCTTCAGACTAATCATAAGTGTGTTAGGTGCCCACTGTACTCTGGTATGACTTCATCTTAGCTAATTACATCTGCGGTGACTGTATTTCCAAATAAAGTCATATCATAAGGTACTGGGGCATTAAGACTTCATCATGGGAATTATGGGAAAAGGACACAATTCAACTTACATTGGGTGAAAGGTGATCAAGGAAATTAAAGTAGCTGGTCACGAAGGTACATTTCAAGATTGTAGAGTATAAACAAACCTTCAGGAATAAAGTAAGTAAGGCTCATAGTAGATGTTCCAACCAGGCACCTCACAAGTAGCCCAAACAGCAGAAGAAATTGTGGGAGGACTCGACTGTTTATGTGCTCCAAGAAAGGGCAAAGAATTGAAAGTGTGGCCATTACCCATTCTTTCCCAGCTCTCACCCTGCTTTTGTGTCTGGAAAAGATAGGAGACAGGGCAGGGTCCTCAGGGGCAGAGACCATAAAGTCTTTTTTTTTTTTTGTCTTTTTCGTTTTTTTTTATCGGTACCAGGGATCGAACTCACGACTGCCTGCTTGCAAGGCAGGTGCTTATGCCGCTGAGCTAAATCCCCAGCCCCTACCATAAGGTCTTGTCCCATGTTATTCTGGCAACAGGCTGAGAAGGCATTTTGCATTTAGCAAAATCTCTTCAATGACATTACACCCTGGTTTTCTGTATTTTGCATCACTGTATCCAAAGCACCTACTCTTCTTGTCATCCTTGTAGAAACGAATCCACTTACAGACAAGCAGAGTCATCTGCATGGCTCCAAACATCATCAGCCAAGTGACTTTCTGAATTGGGTCGGCACAATCTTGGCTGCTAGCGATGAGATCAGCAGCCAAAGCCCAGAAGTAGATTTCCAGACTCCGGGTTAAATTGACTGCTCCACCAGTTAACAGGCAGCTGTGGCTGGAGTGTGAACAAGCAATTTTGATATAAGAGCGTCTGCAATTTTGTATTTGTTGTCACTTACAGGAAAAAGTAGAGCTTGTGCAACAGCAGAAAAGATTTGCAAAAATTGTTATTTGCAAAAATTAATCAGAAAATGCAAAGGCCTTTTTTTTAAATCAAACCGAACTATTGAGACTGACAGTTTTCTTCATAAGATTTTTCAGAATATTGCTTGTTTGTCTGGGAAAGTGTTCTTGGACGTGTGATTCTTTTGTTTTACTTTCATCTAGGGTTTCTGCCTTTCCAATTTTTAGTACCCAGTGAAGTAGAGGAGGCAGGTCTAATTTTGGTGGTCTTGTTTTATTTAAGTTTATTCCATTTTTTCTTTTGATATTTTCCTCTAAAACATGAGATCTGTAAATTTGAGGAATTCTAGGGAATAAATCAATCTCTGCTGTTCTCTCTATCTTCTTCCCCTTCCCAGTCTGCTTAGCACAATTTTAAGAGAAAGTTTCTGAGTTACATGATTATATTATTCCCCACACAGTCTATGAAGTGCAAAGTGCTTAGTCTGATAAAGAAGTCCTCAGAATCCTCCCATCAGTCTTTTATTCTGCTGCTTTTACCAACTACTATTCGGTTCTTCATGATTTTCCCTCAATGAGCCTTGAATTGCCAAAGCCACCTCCCCTGGTCATACTATTCTAGCTGCATCAAATAAAAATACGTAATACAAAACAATTACTCATCTGCCATGTCCAGTCCCAAGCCTCCCGGTGAAATCCCACTGATGACGATTAGTGTCACCATTCTGAACAATTACCTATACCACATAAAACTCACCATACACCAATTTGTACTGGGTAAAGGACAACAGTGCCAATGTGTTATGTCTTTATGCCACTGCAGTGCCATCACTAAGTTTTCATTGAATATTTACTGCAAACATTGATGAATTGATATGTACTGTGATGTTATTAATGGAATTACTGTTAACTTTCTCTATTTGTTTTCTTTGTGTCTCCCCATCTCCTCCTGTTCTCCCTCTCTCCCTCAATATTACTCTTTCCTCTTGTTTCCTCTCCACTCTCCCCCTGTATCTGTTTTTCTTCTCTGCCCTGTCTCCAGGGGAGATGGAAGAACTGGAAGCTCTCTGGCTCACTGGTATTTGCCACAATGAAAAGAATGAAGTCATGAGTAGCCAGCTGGACATTGACAACATGGCAGGCGTCTTCTACATGTTGGGGGCAGCCATGGCTCTCAGCCTCATCACCTTCATCTGTGAACACCTTTTCTATTGGCAGTTCCGGCATTGCTTTATGGGGGTCTGTTCTGGCAAGCCTGGCATGGTCTTCTCCATCAGCAGGGTAAGTGCTTTGAATTAGATGCCTAGAGTTTGTGAAGCAAGCTTACAAAGCACAGACACTACACAGACAGATTACAGAGGGCACTAAGTCTGGCCTTATGTTGCTAAATCAAGAACCTCATCATGTGCATTTCCCCAGGAATCTGTATGATGTAACTTCAAGTGGCTCAAAATGTGGGCAAATCTATATTTTCTTTAAGAAATAGCTTTCTATGTGAGGTTGGGGCATTTGGTTCCCAATAAGAACTGGTGGATCTATCAAAATGGCTTTCTTTCCAAATGCCCTTCATCACTATTCGTTGACTTTATTGATCACTTTATTCTTTAAAAGAATCATATTTCTATTGAAATAGTGCAGTGTAACATATCACTGTCATTCTAACAGACAAAGATATGTTACTGGCGGTTTTACTCATCTTATGTTTTAACCATGTGTGGATTATGGGAAGTTAGAGTTTAACAAGTAACTCCTTCAGAAGTAACATCTGACTCATAAGAAATTTATATCCCAGAGACTTCCTTAATTGGAGCAAGAGTTAACTCTTAGGTCATTTTTTTCCTTGGGATCTCTTTATATCTAGTCCAAAGTGAAGCATTAGGAAGACAATTTTGCATATGAACAACAAATAGCAGGGAGATATTTTGAGAAAGAGTGGGCTTCTTTTGATTTTGTTAATAAGGTTGAGAGACTCAAGATGGGTGAATTCAAATGACGTTTTAAGATTGAGATTCATTCACATTCCACATGTGACCTACTTTGACTCAAATGGTGTTATGAAAGAATGGGTATCTCACTTAATTGTTTCATCCTTTGGTCATTTTCTGATAGCATTTTACTGAGATGGCATGATTTCTTCATTTGCTCTCTGGGTGGCAGTTAATTTGAGTCACTCAGTGGTGTCAGAACAGGAACACAGAACTTGTGGTGGCTTTGGTTCCTCAGCCATGCTATCCCAGTGTATGGCCCTTCCTAGATTCCAGAGAGAAGGAAGATTGAAGACATGACAACCAGTGACCTTGATAGGGATCCCATTCATAGCCCTTTGACATAACCAGTCTCTTTACCAAGGAAAAATGCTTGCCATTTTCCGCTGGTCATCACCAAGAAAGACTGGAAAGGAGAAACAGGGGAAAAGGTAGAATAACCTCGCCTTGAAGATATTGTATCTGGTGATGCCCTCTGAGACAGAAGACATATTTCTTCTTTCCCACCAGCCGCCATTCTCTGCTCTCTTTCCTGTGTACTGGGACAATATTCTTTTCCAAATTAGCCTCCTTTGTTGTAAAGACACAGTTAAAAACTCTTCGGATCCCTTCCCCTCCCAGAGAAAAAAGTCTGCCCTTCGAGGCAGGGAGCAAAAGGTGAGCAGTAGGCTGGCTTCATGTCAGAAGTGGACACGGGGCCTTCCAGGAAGCAAACCCTTCCTCCTGATGGATGCTCTTCTTTGATGCCCCATACAGAAAGGACCCAGAGGCAGTTTCTGTCAATACTGATTTGATAAAACTTTAATTATTTATGATAATATTAAATGAAAAAGTATAAGAAGAAAATCAAGAACTAAGAAAATAAAGGAGATTATTCAACAAGGGAATTATTTATTCACAGTTAGTGTTTGATATTTGCCCCAATTCTTCCCTCCCACAGTGTAGAGCACAGCAGGAGAAAAATCCTTCTTTGACCCCAGGGCTTCTTAATTCTCTGCGTGAGTTTGGTTTATGCTTGGCTGCAGAACAGAATTACTCAGCTGTTATTTGGTCACCAAAATTCTAAAAGCTGTTCAGAATTTGTCAAACCCAGAAAAGAGTGGCAGTTGCGAGCTACTGAGCCCTACTGTGCTCACCACAAGTCAGGAGTGGTCTCCAGGGAGCAGCAACCCTGGTATCTGTAGAGATTTCCATTTACCTCCAGGTGACTGGCAGTACTTTTTTGCTGTGGGTTCATATCATAACCTCATTTTTAAAATGCAAAAATCTGGGCAAAATGAAAAAGTCAAGGTAAGTCCAGGGCGGAGCTGAGACATGTTTTGTGATTCCAGCATAGTGCTCAAGACACCTGTTATAGTTATGCTCTCTCTCTGATGGTCACGTCATTCACTTTAGCTCACAATAGGAAATCTGCTGAATTCAGGGAGGTAAATCAGGTGGGCTTCTAGTCACAGCTTATAGAAGTGTAGGAACCTTCCTGCTTCAAGCCTTCCCCGGGCTTTTCTTACCCAATTAGGCAATTAGTGGTGGAAGTACATGATTACAGTCACTTTTAGTGTCACTGTCCTGTCCCTGATCTGTCCCATCCTATGTCGCTGCAGGGTATTTACAGCTGCATCCATGGAGTGGCTATCGAGGAGCGCCAATCTGTGATGAATTCCCCCACTGCGACGATGAACAATACGCACTCCAACATCCTGCGTTTGCTCCGCACAGCCAAGAACATGGCCAACCTGTCTGGCGTGAATGGCTCCCCGCAGAGTGCCCTGGACTTCATTCGCAGGGAGTCATCTGTCTATGACATCTCTGAGCACCGCCGCAGCTTCACCCACTCGGACTGCAAATCCTACAACAACCCGCCCTGCGAGGAAAACCTCTTCAGTGACTACATCAGTGAAGTGGAGAGAACATTTGGTAACCTGCAGCTGAAGGACAGCAACGTGTACCAGGACCACTATCACCATCACCACCGGCCTCACAGCATCGGCAGCACCAGCTCCATCGACGGGCTCTACGACTGTGACAACCCGCCCTTCACCACCCAGCCGAGGTCCATCAGCAAGAAGCCGCTGGACATCGGCCTGCCCTCCTCCAAACACAGCCAGCTGAGTGACTTGTACGGCAAGTTCTCCTTCAAGAGTGACCGCTACAGTGGCCACGATGACTTGATCCGCTCGGATGTCTCTGACATTTCCACGCACACAGTCACCTATGGCAACATCGAGGGCAATGCGGCCAAGCGACGTAAGCAGCAGTACAAGGACAGTCTGAAGAAGCGGCCGGCCTCGGCCAAGTCCAGACGGGAGTTTGATGAGATCGAGCTGGCCTACCGTCGCCGACCGCCCCGCTCCCCTGACCACAAACGCTACTTCAGGGACAAGGAAGGGCTACGGGATTTCTACTTGGACCAGTTTCGAACCAAGGAGAACTCGCCCCACTGGGAACACGTGGATCTGACCGACATCTACAAGGAGCGCAACGATGACTTCAAGCGCGACTCCATCAGTGGAGGAGGGCCCTGTGCCAACAGGTCTCACCTCAAGCATGGGACAGGCGACAAACACGGTGTGGTCAGCGGGGTGCCAGCCCCTTGGGAGAAGAACCTGACCAACGTGGATTGGGAGGACCGGTCCGGGGGCAACTTCTGCCGCAGCTGCCCCTCCAAACTGCACAACTACTCCACCACGGTGGCCGGGCAGAACTCGGGCCGGCAGGCGTGCATCCGATGCGAGGCCTGCAAGAAGGCGGGTAACCTGTACGACATCAGCGAGGACAACTCCCTGCAGGAGCTGGACCAGCCGGCGGCCCCCGTGGCGGTGCCGCCCAATGCTTCCACCACCAAGTATCCCCAGAGCCCGACTAATTCCAAGGCCCAGAAGAAGAACCGCAACAAACTGCGGCGGCAGCACTCCTACGACACCTTCGTGGACCTGCAGAAGGAAGAAGCCGCCTTGGCCCCGCGCAGCGTGAGCCTGAAAGACAAGGGCCGGTTCATGGATGGGAGCCCCTACGCCCACATGTTTGAGATGCCAGCTGGTGAGAGCACCTTTGCCAACAACAAGTCCTCAGTGCCCACTGCCGGACACCACCACCACAACAACCCCGGCAGCGGCTACATGCTCAGCAAGTCGCTCTACCCTGACCGGGTCACGCAAAACCCTTTCATCCCCACTTTTGGGGACGACCAGTGCTTGCTCCATGGCAGCAAATCCTACTTCTTCAGGCAGCCCACGGTGGCAGGTGCGTCGAAAGCCAGGCCGGACTTCCGGGCCCTTGTCACCAACAAGCCAGTGGTCTCGGCCCTGCACGGGGCTGTGCCAGGCCGTTTCCAGAAAGACATCTGTATAGGGAACCAGTCCAACCCCTGTGTGCCTAACAACAAAAACCCCAGGGCTTTCAATGGCTCCAGCAATGGGCATGTTTATGAGAAACTTTCTAGTATTGAGTCTGATGTCTGAGTGAGGGAAGAGAGAGGTTAAGGTGGGTATGGGAGGGGTAGGGTTGTGGGTCGTGTGGTGCGCATGTCATGTCACAGAGGGGGTCGGGGATGAACTTGGTTCCCATTTGCTCCTTTTGTCTTCTTTTAATTTATTTATGGGATCCTGGAGTTCTGGTTCCTACTGAAGGCAACCCTGGTGACCAGCACCCCCCTCTTCCCTTCCACGGTCCTCGCTTCCTCCCATCTGTCTGCCATTTCCGGTCCCTTGCGAGAGGATGAAGCTGGCCCTCTTGGCACAGGAGGGTGGAGAGCAGAAGAGCTTTTGCCATGCACTTTGAGTGAGGCCAGGAGGAGCAAAAAAGGGGCCACAGGAGTACAGGAGTAGCTTTCCTCAAGCTGATTTTTTTGTTTAGATGGGGAAGCAAAAGTATCCAAGTGATACCAGTTAGCATTCAGCTTGTGAATGAAAAGAGCTTTTTGCTGAATTCTTTTTGCATAGATGGCATCTGCCTAGGATTTGTATTCTAAGCAGAAGGAGAGAGGCCATGCATGTTTATATATAAGCCAAAAAGAGATGTTAGCCTCAGCTCCATGAGACTCATTAGTGGTGAACTGGAGTAAGAGGTTGTTGGTGGACGAGTGGGTTCCTGAGCAGACTGGAAAGTTCATTGTGATTGTGTTTCATGGTGCCTTGGAAGCCAGGGCAGGGGGATCGTGTGGGTATGTATGTCTAGGTACACTTGCACATACCGGTATGAGTGCCTCTAAATGCAAAGAAGGCAACCTTGTTTCCTTGTGTTGTTTCTCTCCCTATCCCTGTGCAGTGTGCTTTGGCTTATATACAAACAGACATGGTCACATGTTATCTGAATGTTGACTGTCTTTCCCTGTCACCTTCCTGAATGAGGAGAATGGAAGTTCTTGAAAAAGATTAAATTTTAGAGACAAAAAAGAAAAGAAAGAGAGAGAAAGAGATAATCCTATGAAAGCAAGGTGCAAAAATTATTTTTCAGTGATTGCCAGTGGTTTCAACTAGTTTGAACCAAGAACTTCCCAGGAAGGATACAGGGAAACAGAAGCAGCCGTGGTTCTTTTGCTTGAGAGCAAAATATTCTAAAAAGTTCTTTTGAGCTTTTTAGACCCTCGACAGGCCAAGGTTTGGGGAGTAGCTCAGTAAGACTCTGAAGAGCAAGGGAGTCCTATGTGGTAGGATAAGTGAGACAGGGGGATGTTTTCAATGCTTTGATCCCTTCTTACTTAACCTGGAGCTAGAAGAGCAGACCTATTCCCCTGGAACTAATGACAATAAATAAGGGGGGAACAGACAGTAAGAGAAATGAGCCTCAGAAGCACAGCTCAGGAAGCCTGGAGAGATGGGAAGACATTTAGAAGTGGGAGAGGGCTGACGGGAGAGATTCTCCTGCACCTCCCTGGGTCTGGCTCCCTGGGAGTGACTTCATGCCAGTGTGAACACTCCTGGTAGATGCCCTTCCACCCTCCTGCAGCACCTCTGTTCCTCTCACGTTGTACCATTCAAAAGTAAATATATTCATGTGCATGTGTGTGTGCACAGAAGAGTCCAGGGAAGAGGGTACTGGCAGACATGTGCCCCCTTTGCTTTGGGTTGGAAAATTGGGAAGGAAAAGGATTATTTGTTACTGCTGATCCTATAAGTTGGGTCTGTCCCAGTGTCCTGCCATCCTCCCCTCACTCAGAGTGGCATCCAAAGAGCCCCCGGTCTGTCTGGAAGTTTGACCACAGGACTGCCTTGTTGTACACAGGACACATAGACCAGAAAGGTGCTCATCCTCCTCTGGAAGGAAGTCGCCATGTCTTTTCACGTCCACTCTCCAGGGCTGCTGTTTGCCTTCCTGTCCACCCTGCCTCGAGACCCTTCCTCATTCCCTGCCCTCCCATGCCTTCCCCTCCCACCCCCTTGAGTTTACCTCAGTATCTTTCATTTTAAAGCCAACTGAAGGCCTTGTAAAGTTCTGCTTTCTTCTTAAAATAAACATGGGGGCAAGGGGCTGAACCTCTCACAGATTTGGAGAGGAGCACAGAGTGCTTTACCTTAGATTCAAGGAAAGACTTTGAGAGAGAGGACAGAGGGTGTGGGGCATCTCCAGGAGGAAGAAGGAGAAGGGCCAGAGAAACATTACTTCACCCTGACTCTGCCTAAGAGCCAGGAGCTCATCCCCTTACTCTTCCTCTTACCTCACCCCTTAAAATAAAAAATAATAATAATTAAAAAAAAAAAAAAAAAAAAAAACCAAACCAACTAATCTAGCGAACAGCAATCTAGAACACAGGGGGCTCTGTCAGTCTCTACTGGCGACTGAAATCAAGATGGTGTTTATTTCATATGTAAATATTTTGTTTTCTAATTAATTTTGTATAAAGTGTTCTCTTGTGAGTATTCAGGGTGTTGGGCTGGAGGGAGTGGGGTGGGGATGGGAATGAGGGGGGAAAAGTGTTTTGTTATGGTTTTCCTTTTTCCCTTGGGGAATTGTTTTTATGGCTTTTGCTTCAGGATGTCTGGAGAAAGTGTGAATGCAAGGCACTAAGGTGAAAAAGCCAGGGGAAAGTAAATTATATTTGTGCCCTTCCCCTCCTCCAAACCATTCCTCCTACTGCTGTCTAAGAAATGTTCATTCACTTGGGCCTGAGCTCTGCCAGACTCGATGTGTCTCTAAGCAAACCAGCGGCCTGACTCTTACCTTCTAGGTAGACCATAAGGGATTAGCACTCTGCAGAACTCAAGCTGATGGTACCAGATTTTCCCTGTCAGTGCTTAAGGTAGCAGAAGTTCCTAAAAGTGCTTAAACCAGAATTGAGGTCAAACTAACTTCTCCTTCTCGATGTGATTGGTCAGGAAGCTCATTTCTGAGGAATCTCTGATCTTTAGTGACCATCTCATCGCTCTAGACTCTTTTCTTCTTAATCTCTGACTAGCGCACCTCACACCCATAAATCAACACTAAAAGCCTACCCAGAAAATGTCCACTAACTCAGCTTTTTGAAGCATGTGTTATCTGGTTACAAAGAGGCAGTGCTGGATATGGATCTTTCATATTCACACAATATTCTAGAAAATGTTGCCAGATTCGCTCATAATTCATTGGCTAGAAGGTTTCCTTAGAAACATTGCTGAAATTAATTTTAGAGGTAGAAGGGTAAGAATCTGAGGGATGATGATGGCGGTGACTTTATCTTTGCCTTTGTCTCGCTACTGCCATCAGAAAAGCGCTATTTGCCTCAAGTCAGGTGTTCATAACCTGATCTTGGGTAAAGCAGACAAACAGAATGCCCTTCACTGAACTGTTGGCCTTGTGAAGGATGGCAGACTTTCCCTGCATCTCTTTACCATGGAATGAAATTTCCAAACCCACATGCCTAGCATATTGCATTTGTTCCTTTCCTCCCATCATGAGAAGCTGTCAGCTGGGTAACTTCATTTTTTTAAACCCATTATTTGACCCCAATTGATCACTTTTCTTCAACTGGATGTTTGAATTGAGAACAAGGAAGACATTCATAGCCTTCTCAAGAAAGTTTAAGCAGAGGCTTCCTGAGCATTGTCTAGTTCTAGACATTACTTAATTCTGGAATAATGAAGAATTGAGCAGTAAGCCCCATGAATATCACAGATGCTATTGGACTGAGACCCAATCCATTCAGAACTGTGAGGTTCTGTAGACACGCTCAGGAGCACCTGGTGTTCCAGTGGTCTTCAGAATCCATGCTTTCTCTCATGTGCTCTTTATCCTACCCTTCCATTGTGGAAGTGGAATGGTGGGCGTGGTCCTGCATCTCTCCTTTCAACAGCATGCTGAAATTCCAGTATTTCCACCATCCTCAATAATCTAACTCTTGAATTTGTCTGAATCAAGAATGTGCATACCCTTCAGAATGACCCATACAGTGGACTTTGTTATTTCAAAAGTTGTCACTATGTGTCCTCAGCCAGATCTTGGGAAGCATTCTTACAACGTATTCCCCTGTCTGGCCATAGCAATGTTGTGATTTGGGGGGAAAATGCCCATGTGATCCCATTAAATGTTGATGGTGTCAGTAGTGCCAAACGCATGTGCAATATTATAAAGTAGGAGTTCACTATATACTTAAATGAATATCATCCACCCACTCCCTCATGGCCATCAGGAATTGCCCATGAGAGAATTCTCTGCAGAGTGCTGGTCACTTGCACCTCTCAAATAATAGGATCTCTTCACTTTTGGTTTTTGTTTATTTGTTTTCACAAATACAAGATGTAGGGGCAAAATAACCAGATTGTTTGGGCAATAGTTTTTGAGAAAGCTATTCCTGAACTCGTTTTATTTTTTTAACCACTGTATCTCTAAAAAGGCCAAATCATTTCTTGACACCCTGTGTGTGCTTGTTTTGGTAGGTTAGGGATGATTCAGATATATGCATAAATGATGTAACTGCAATGTTATTGATGAATGCATTAGGCATTTCCAGTATTGTGACCATATCTTATGTGCACTCCAAACCCAAAGCCATATAGAAAATGTGAGCTTGGTGGGCTGCTAACCATTACTCTTGAGACTTTGCTTTCCTCACTTGGGTGTCAATGTTTCTTCTTCCTGTCTAAGATGGACAGTCACACTGGAGCAGGTTTGAGGTTACATGACATATGCTCCATGATGTGATATCGGGGTCATACAAAGGCTTTCAAATGGTTGGCTTCCCAAGCAGATTTGTTGCTGAAATGAAAACAGTCCCAGGAAAAGTGACATATTAAGCCATATTAGGGATTTATACATTTAAACACCTAATCTACATTAGGATTCTCATTCCTTTTCCTGGGAATAGGCTAAGATGCAAGAAGGAGAAAACAGAACAGTGAGAGGAACAGAACAGGGAACAAGATGCAGGTTCCAGTGGTGAAGACCAACACATCACATTTTATCTCCACCTGCTTTTGTTTAGGGTTCATGTGACAGTGGAATAGGATTCCTCTTCAGAGATTCTTTTAAATAAGTCATATGAGGATGTAGCTTATAGATTCTAAATTCAA